TTCACTCCTACTTTTCCACTGGAAAGCTCTATAGTTGCTTTTCATTGGTTTAGATGAGTTGATAGTGAACCAGAAGTAGAGTCACGGTGGAAGAGAACTGCAGTTTCGTGGTAGTTGGCAGATACTTGCAAGCTTTATCAAGTATACAATCTTTCATACTTGTGTTCAAGAGTGTTACCCAACATGTCTACAGTATGTCCTTGTAAAGAAGTCGCCAATAAATAACAATAAGAACAAGGCCAAGGACTAATTTATATTGTTTGTGACACCCGTCGCTTTTCACCCTGACAGTAGAAAAAATAACATTAACATAATTACATGGCAACATATTAGTTTAGAGACTTTTTTTGTAACAGTGAACATTCAGGTAGTTAACACAAATCTCACAGGATTGACAGGGAAACATGATGACATGTAGAGTTCAGCTCCATGTGTTTCTGTGTGTTTGCATATGTGTCCTCCCTCTCTGCTCCCAGCTGTTAAGAGCTCAGTGTTGATCAGAGGCTGTCCAGGCCTTTCAGAGCCACTGAACCACCAGCAGCACAATGATGATGTTACTGACTCTACTGCTGACCATCCTGGAGCTCCTGGTTCAGGGTCAGATTCTTTGCTAAAAACATTGGCTCAGGATTGAACACTATAATGATCCATCATTTCAAAAATATTTATTTTATTCTTTAAGAACGGATCATCTTTTTGCACTGTTCTTCTTTTCTTTACCAAAAGTGATTTTTTATTCCTTTATTTTATTTTCCAGGTTCATCAGGCGACATCAATCTGAGCCAGACTCCAGTATCTCAGTCTGTTGTTTTAGGACAGACTGTCTCCATCAGCTGTAAAACCAGCACCAGTGCTGGCGGCTACCTCAGCTGGTACCTCCAGAAGGATGGAGAGTCTCCTAAACTTTTAATTTATTTATCTTCATCTCGTCAGTCTGGAATTCCAGGTCGTTTTAGTGGAAGTGGATCTGGAACTGCTTACACTTTAACAATCAGTGGAGTTCAGGCTGAAGATGGAGGAGTTTATTACTGTCAGCAGGGTAACAGCTTCCCGTTCACACAGTGAAACAACGTCGTACAAAAACCTCCCAGACAAAGAGGAACTGATCTGAATCAGTAACAGTATGAGTGTTTTTCTTAACATTTCACTCTATAACACTTTTTCAAAAAGGATATGTTAACAATTATGACAAAAGTAAATAAATATTTATTATATAAATATTAAATATATTTAAATTAAGTGAAAAAAGAAAACAGACATTCAAAAAGTTCAGTATTAATGTAAAAAGGTTTGCAGTTACAGAAACACTATGATTTTCTAAATCATTTTATAAATATAAAACATTTAATAAAAGCAGATATTAAAAATGTATCCTGATTGATTTATAAGTTCAATCCCTAGCAGCAAAGGATTGTTTTAATTATTCACTAAGAAGAGTAGAATCATATACTAAAGCCAATTATTTTTAACAGGTAAAGTCAAAATGTCTGTCTTTAGAGTTATATGTCATAATATGAAGATGCAGAGTTCACCACTGTCAGCAGGATTGGAACTCACAGTTCAAAGAGTGATACAACATCACAATCAAAATTTGACATTTCAAGTCATTTTGAAAGGATTTTTCCTCAATAGTTTCTTAACTCAATGTCTACCTGCAGGATCACAGCACAGAGGTCTGAAAATTACAATCTCACATGTTTGCGTCGCTTTTAGTGTGATTTCAGTTTA